CCCCAAAACCCCAAAACCCCAAAACCCCAAAACCCCTATAAAGACCCTTTCTATTGTTATAAATATTATTTATAAAAAATGCCTTCCTCAGTTCAGTGACAGCGCCCTGACTGTCATAATGATGGGACAATCCTCGTTGTAAAACAGAACAAATACATCTGCGAAACCCACTTCACCAATAACTATGCTAACAACGAAGTTCAGCCGCTTGTCTCTAGTCAAGACTTGCTGGCATATTTCAACCAAGTCGATTGCATATTAGGTAAGCTAATAAATAAGCCATGTGCATTAAGAATGGACCAAAGTGCACATAAATTAAAGCAAAGATAGCAAAACATTAGATAGTTAGAGAAGTAATGCGGGGATTTGGAATAGATCATTTCTTCCTATTATATTGGCCTTTGGCTTTGTGGGTTTAGCATAAGTACTTAAAGTGCTTGGGAAATTGTTTAGAGCAACTTTATTAAGAAATTGACTGTTAGTTATGCAGGGATCTACTTTACTTTTCTTTTTAAAGGGGTTTAATGATGCTTTGAGTAGAGCTTATAGGCTCTAAAACTGTCTTTTTAACTCAGCAATTTCAGTGGCTTGTGTTTAAATGATTCAAGTTCAGAATTTAGCTTCTTATATTCCTTATGAAATCACAAATTAACAAAGTTCTTTTTAAATTTATTAGTAAAAAATCTAATTTATTCTAATTTTCTGGACTCAGCTCATTCTGGTTCTCATGCTTCAAAGTGTCAAGAGGTTGAAAGATCAAAGCCACTAGGCTAAATTATTGACAGCTTAAGAATTATCATGGCACTTCTGGTCTGCTGCCTTAATTTTTCAGTATTTAGATAATTTTAGATTACCTCGCTTATAATAGACAACCTAATTGATACAATTTGGTTCATTATTTGACTTAATTTAGACATTAGTTAGCTTATCTTCACAACTTACTTGGTACAAAAGATTAATCCTCTTTCTTATCAGCTGCTACTTCTGTAATTGCTCTTAACTAGTGTTTCCTGAGATATGAATCTATCTTACTCCAGAATTTTCCTTATTGTATGAATTTCTCTATAAATTTGCATATAAACGAACTTACTTATATCTCTTTGTCTTATGTTTTCTTTGATCATGAGACCAATCAAGAACATTAACAGTAAGTTGAGACTGTATAGAGTATTTTAAGTTAATCCCATCTTCTACAAAAGTGATTAAACTCTTTCTATAAGGGATTGGCTATTCAAATTCTATCAGCACCACAGGCAAATCAGAGCCAATCCCAGAGACTCTCTCCCAAATCTATATCTAATTCTCCTCGATCTCCTTCAAAATGTTGTCAAATATACCGTTCCCTGCTAAAACTTTGTACTAGTTAAAACCTAAGCTGGCCAACTGGGGATTTACACTGGGAAGATAGATAGGTTGGGGATTTTAGGGGAAGATAGAAGCTTATTGTGGTTTAGGGAAAGTGAAAACGTCAGTGAAGTACTGAAAATATGGCAAAGCGATGGAAGATGTCAAGGAGTTTATAGGGAAATGAGATGGAGAGCTGGAAGATGTTCTTGAGAGATATAATAATGCCGTTGGTGATGAAGATGAAGAGTTCTCTATCTTCACTGATTTGAAGACGGAATTGGATATATAATTAAGGATGAGATGAAAAGTCAACCGTTTTGGAAAATCTTCACGGATGGAATGCTATGGATGCAAGCGGAACACCCTGTAGGTAAGTATAGTTTAAGATTGATGGGATGCTCGGGAGAATTCGGATCGCTGCTATACTTACTCAGATATTTAATAATATTAATGAACTTCTTGGATTTCTGTATCCTTTAAACAAAATTTTACTTTTACTATTGTTAACCAAGATTCTTTTATGAAAAACAAACAAAATTTTACAAAAATTATCTTGCATTTTTACGAATTTAAGAGTCTTCTAAACTCAAACCTAACCGATATAACATAGATAATAGAAAAGTCGACCTTCAGCTTGACAATAGACAAGAAGAATCAACTGTTCATTCTAAGTGTGACGGATCTTCAAATGAAAAATACTCAGATGACATATCTATTCCATTACCATCATCACCTTCTAACCAAGATAAAAAGTATTTTGAAGAAATAAGATATAGGAAATGGGAAATTATGTCTGATAACTCACCCGAGAAAAATAAGAAGTCTTTAGAACAAGCAATAGATCATAAAAGCTATGAAAAAGACCCAAGTATCTCTGCTCATCCTAGCTCAAAGAAATCTCAAAAAGCCAATAAAAAGACCAAGAACGATCTGAAAGTTGATAGCGGTATCAGCGAAAAAAGTGAGTCTACTACAAAGGAACTTCACTCCACAAACCCACACCACAACCCAGATGCCCGAATAAACTGCTGGATCGGATCCAAAACCTCCAGCTCCAAAGTAACCCTCCCCCTCTACTTTCCCTCTAACTCCTAAATCTAGTCTCCTTCCAAAGCCAGTGCCAAAAAGGGAGTCTTCAACTACGAAGAGGACAAATCTGATCCTAATAAGGTAAGCAAGGAGCTTAATAATTATTGGGATTTTACGCCTGGGATTTATAACTTTGGAGATGAAGAGAGATTAGAGTGAGATTGGATTTATAGGATGAAGAAGAGAAGGGAGGAGGAAGGAAAGATAGTGCCCATAAAGCTGAGAGTCTTAGTAGAAGGCAGTTAGAGTACCATATTGGGTTTATTTTACCAAAAGAGTAAGTGTGAAGGGTTTTGAGGGGTTATGGTGATCTAATCTTGAAAATAGAGAGGTTACGACTTATCTGAGAGACGACATTTTTGAAATAGATTTTTCAGTGGAGAAAGATAGAGATCTAGTAGAGTCATTGAAAGGAAAGAAGCTGCCAAATCTCAAAAAGATCAATTTATACAACGTTCCAGAGAACGACTTATTGGTGAAAGCATTCTTGAAGGATTACTTCCCTTCGAAATGTCATAACTTCTTCTTTAACACTGGAAATTCAGGCTTAATTAGTATCGAGAATTATATGAGCCAGTTTGAAGTCATGAGCTGCCAAGTTACACAAAAGATATGCATCTCCAACTGTGCAGTGACTGAAGATGAAATGAAGAAATTGCTTGCTTACAATAAAAATAAGGCAGGATTTGGATTCCCAGACTGCCAAATTGACATAACCTCAGAGGTTGACTTCTCAGATGCTTTAGAAGGAACTAGTTTACAAAATTTGTACTTCCACAATTGTGGGAAAGAAGAAAACTCAAATTGGAAAGCTTATCCAGAAAGACTAGTTTACCTCATCAACGGACTTCTAAAGTCAGAATATCTAATCAACTCCTTAAACAAGATCTGTCTTTATGGACATAACGTCAAGAAAGGAACCATCAACAAAATCCATAAACAAAAAGCGAATACCAAAAAGGTACTAGATCTTACAACCAAATATCCCAATTAATAGGCTCTTGAATAATTCAAAAGTTAATTGCTCTAAAGGGGTTTTGGGGTTTTGGGGTTTTGGGGTTTTGGGGTTTTGGGG